GGAGAAGGAAGCAGATGACATGGAGCTGAGACCTAGTTCAGCCCCTGCTACCCCATATGTGTACCTGGACCCCTTGGAGAGTCACAAGATGTTTAGACTCTCAACCTGCCTCGGCCTAAGACCTAGGGAATCAGAAAGTGTATCTTCCTTCCATGGCTCTTTTGGGTATCAGATTATTTCATCTCAAAGAATGGAGGTATAGCTGTTTGTTACTGCCCTGGGGTTTGAAGCTAGTTTTACTCGTGCCAGTCCAGGACTTGCCCATTGAGCTATACCTATAACTTCCACTTTTGACTTTTATTTGAGACCGTCTCACTTAATTGCCCAGACAGGCCTTGAACTTGAAATCCCCTTGCTTTATTCTACCTGTTATGTAGGATTATAGGTTTACTCCGCCAGGCCTGTCTATGCTAGCTATTTTATGCCTCTGACTGAAAGGAAAGTCTTATGTGCCCATCCTCTGCATGGATGGAAACAGTCACCAAATGATGTAGATGGTACCCTCCCACAGCTCTAGGATGGCCCAAGGCAAGTAGTCTTTTTTGGGGTCCCTAAAGTACTCCTTTCATCCTCAGTTCACATGGTGAATACCTCACAAATGAAGTATCCCAAAGGTGCCCTGTTCATTAAAAATAATATAATAATAGCTATTGATAATATAATACATAGTTTAAAGTGGCAGCCTTTGAGTTAGCACCTAAGCGCCATATGAAGCACAAAGCCACCTCTCCCTACCACTGCCATAAGCCAGGCCCCGTGAAAGAGTCCATGGCAGGAGGGAACTGGGCTCCTGGCCCGGGGCAGCAGGCAGAGTTTATACATTCATTGTTTGACCAAGCTTCATTTCCTTTGGGACTCTACCGTCTCTTAATCACAAATGCATTTAAGGGTTTCTAGTTTGTTCTTTTGCTGTGCCTAATCAGTTGTTCCACCTGCCATTCACCAACCCTGCGTGGAAGTTCACTGAAAAGCCCCCTTCCAGCTTTGGAGACAGCACTGACCCCCAAGGTGACACCAACAATGAAAGCTACCTCGAAGGCAGTCTGTGTCTGGTTGATTTGGTCATAACCGTTTTGTTAATATTGTGCTGTGTTCTGGAGGGCTCTGGTCTCTTCTTTAGGCTTTGATCAATAGACCACATTGTACACTCCACTGGTTGAGTTGTGGAAATCATTTCGAATAAATACAGTACAGAAATGTCTTTTTCCTTTTGTGAATAACCTCATAGTTCCACCCCAACATGGAGATTTTCTTCCTAAGACTGGAAATCCCTTGGCAAAGCCTGTGCTTTTGTCAGTAAGCATGTGCTGAAGCCAGCAGGTCTGCGAGAAGCCGGAAGGTATTGAAACTTAAAACACTTCAGGTTTAGCACCTGCTTTATGCAAACAAGGTGTTGGAATGTTATGTTCAAATGAATAAAGGAGCAATACTTGGAGACTATATACTTAAGAGTATATCATAGATGCATGGTTTGATAAGGTTAGTCATCCCTGGAAGTCACTGTAGACAGCAAAGACATTTTCTGGGCCACGATGGCAGTTTCTGAGACTTGCGGGTCCTTCATAAAGGGCAAGGATAGTTAGTTCCTGTACCTGTAGCTAGCTGACTTCAGAGAGGTGTCCTTTGGATGTACATTAGAAAGCCATGGTTGTTTCTCTTATTACTTATCCTCAGTTTCAAGTCATTATTTTGATCATAAGTAATATCTACAACTAGCAATTAAACCCTGGACTCTGCAAGCAGACTCATCTGTATAGACATTGATAATTAGTTTCTTTCAACTAAGGCATAATCTCTCTATAATTCTCTTAAATCTCTTTAATTTTCATTCCATATCTTACAACACAGAAGTAAGTGATTGACTTTCTTTTGCAGAAAAGTGATTGATTATGCCCTATGTAAGAAACTGTTCAAAAACCTTCACATTCAGACTTTAAATTGAAACCCGGAGGCTCTCTTTTTCTTCTTCTCATGGGGTCCCTGGTAGAGGATCTTTCCCTGTTTCAGTATTATGAATCAGCTATAGCTATAAGAGGAAGTGCTGTGGACATGTTTGACCTCGGAGCTTGGAAAACAGAATCCTTAGCCAGTCACCTCAAATTCCTTACCCAGCACATCTTCTGTACCATGTCCTCCTCCTGGCCATCGTAGGGTACCTATGTATAGCTTAGACAGTCCCTTCCTCAGCTTGCCATTGTACGCCTGGCTTTCTGCCCTAGGACTCCTGGATATCTAGAGGTTAGGCCTCTGTGTCATGAGTCTGTTTACAAATTTGAGAGAATTAACACTTCTCTGGGGCACCTTTGATCAGAAGGGGGCAGAAATTGTTGGATAAAATATCTACCTCTATATTAGAGCCCCAAGATAGATTTTTGTTGGCATTTTGATTGTCTTTATTCCTTAACAAAGCAAACATGAATTGATGCAGTTGGAGATAGGAGACACTAAACATGTTTTGTTTTGTAGTTTATCCCAGGACCAAGTTTTTTGTCTGCCATATTATAGCTACTACATAACTATTTGTGGAATGATTGGCATCTTAGAGAAGTATGAGAAGAGGCCAGGGTTGTAGCTCAGTGGCAAATCTTTTTCTTAACAGGCATTATGTTCCAGGTTCAGTACCCAGCATAGGGAGGGGGAGGGAGAGGAAGGTGGAAATAGTAAAATAAGCATGTCAAGGTAGAGGACTTAACAAAAGTACTAAAGTATAAACTGTTGTAATTAATTTGGAATGTGGTTGGGTAGAACCACAAATTAGTGTGTATCAGAACATGGTTAAAAGGCCAACATTAGTAAATCTTGGTATTTTGATAGAATTAATGAATATAGGCATTTCTCCATTTTCAAGCTGAAACCCACTCAAGGACAGGAGTACAAAAATGATAGAATAACTAATATATATGTATATGAATACATATATAGCAGCCTCATCATCTAAAATAATGTTGGATAGATAGATGGTGGATAAACAAATGATAGGTGGTTGGTTGTGACTTGGCTGGGAGAAAGGATAGTTCCTCAGCAACTCCTTGCTTTCAGTGACAGGCTATAAGTGGTGCCATATTTTTAGCTTATTTAGTTGTAGCTAATGTGAAATCAGCAGTTACTGTAGACCTTTGGGAAACACCCTATTTTCTGCTGAACCATACAGTAAAGCGTAGCATGAGTAACCAAGTTTCCTATTGCCCACTTGGTGGCTAACAGCAAGGCAGTGTGTCCTGTGATAAACAAACACATACAAACAAAAATACCTCTAGGGGTACATAAGTGAAGGGTACACTCAGCACCAATTACAAAATAAATGAGAGCCGTTGTTTCTGTATTTAAGCAGAATTATTTTTCAAGGTAGCTATGCTTTCATGGTGTCTGTGTGACCTATTATTCCATTAGTTTTTAGAACAGTATATAAAACCCACGCTCCATGCTGACAAACACCAATATTGAAACTATTGCTACAGTCAATCCAAACAGCCTTCTCCCTTGGGCCACATTATTATTTGGAATACAAGCAGAATTGTGGATCCCTGAGCCAGCAGGGCACAAATGAGGGCAGTGATTCATAAGGTGACTCCAGCGAGTTTGCAAATGTGCAACTTGCATGAAGGCTGACACACACAAGAGAAGCTGGGGGTTGACTTTTTGAACTAGTAAGCACTTCCTGGCCCCACTGCCACTTTGGGACCTAGAGGACTATGGAAGGGTGAAGGTTTCTGAGGATACGAGTGAGCCTGATGGAATGCTGATTTACCAGAAATAAACCCTTCACATCAGATCACACCCATGTCAGGAGCTTTTTGAGCGGGAAGATGGTAATTCTGCCTCTTCACATGCTCCCCTAAGTCCTTGAACTCTTATTCCATTGGATTAGTCTTTGGGGGCTGGGTCACCTGGGGTCTTAATTCTACCCTGGTGAGGTTGGCTGAAAGTGATATTGGTCTAAAAATACAACTCCCTGAACTTTTAAACCTTCAGATCTTTTTTTTTATATAATATGATTTTCTTAATCCTGAGCTTGATTTCTTTAATTAAAAAATCCATTTGTTCTTTGATATTGGTAAAGTTCAGAAGGAGCAGGAATGGGCATAGAACAGTGCTGTGTGCAAAGGAGGAAGCGGAGGAGAGTCAGTAATGATGCCGCCTGACTCCAGCCTAATGATATGTCTGCCAGGTAGGCCCCTCACACTGAGGCCCTTCCTCCCTGCTAGACTTTGAAAGTGACAAGCCCTGGTTATCAGGTGACATGGTACCAATTAGCTGATGTAAATGGGCACGCAGGCAAGTTTGAGGTCAGATGCAGCTGAGGTGAGGCTGCCCCAATAACGCTAACCATCAGTGCATGATTGGCAGTGTGGGGAGAGACCCCCAGAGCTGTGTGGGAGCACCACCTTTTCCTATTGTGTCATCTTAGATAAGGACTTCTTTGGAATAAGAACAAGAATATTCATCACACCGTCAAAGAAATGCTTGGGCATTCTAGGCTCTTAGTTAAGGGTGGGACCCTATGCTGTACTGCAGTTATTTTACACTGACTGTGGAGGGGCCTGACCCACAGTGTCTAACTACACAGTGAGAAGGGACAGAAGACCTGTCTTGTGCCCCTTGCAGTCAGCTGACTGAATTGCGGTCATACAACTGTCATCTTCCATGACTGAAAGGCACAGACACGAAAATGTTTGCTTAGAAGCCAGCAGCACAAGATCAGGTAATTGCAATGACCAGATAGGAAGCGGGCAGGGCACACAGCGCTTCAGAGACGAAGGTGAGCCTGGAGGAAGCCCAGCTGGAACGCCCCGAGATGGTGGTGACCACACAAGAGCCAGGGAACTTGTTCCACCACAGAAACAAAAGCTGTGTGTATCGATGAAGGGGAGAACTGTTCCCTAAAAGGCACTCAGAGAAAAAAACAAACAAGCCCTGAAATATGCCTGCTGCCAGCCGTGGTGTTTAAAATGTGGCCCCTTTCACAGCTCCATCTCATGCTGCCTCTCTCTTGATTTCAGCTCCCATTTTTGCCAGCAATCATCCGAGCCGAAGTGGAACAGCTGCTGGGACCGCGCCACCCCCACATCCTGTCAGTCACCCTTCTCCGGGACATAATGTACAGGGGAGCCCCCACAACCCCTCCTCCCAGTTACCTCCACTCACAGCTGTGGACACAAGCACCGAGAGGTAAGGCCATCTGTCTCTCTCTCATAATAGGTGTTGCCGCCAAGAGGAGAGCTCTGACAGTCGCTGCGTTTTATTAATAATCCGTTGGTGGGTTGAGTTACCCAGGGGTGACATTTTAAAAGTAACATACACAAAGCATGTGGACCAAATACCTCATTATCTGGTACATTTTTATAACAAATGAAATGATACTGGCAGTCGGCAACAACTCAAGTGTCAGGAGCTAGAAAATGTATCACAGTGTCCCGCCTTTGCCACAGAACCTTGCCACAGACTCAGTTTTAGGTGAGTTGAGGGGCTGGCTCTCCAGGTACAAACAGTGCCATGGTCACACAGATAGCAATGTAAGTTTGTGTGCTAGGAAGCCTTCCATTATTGATAAAAATGTCTGAAAACCAGTAAACATACAAGTTGGTTTTGGCTCACGATTTCAGTGATTTTCCCCCCATGATCACTGGGCCTTGCTTTGGGTTCATCAGGGTGGGAGTCTGTGGCAGAGAAGACCTGCTAGCCTCATGGTGTCAATTTCTCCTTCAAGGGCATATCCCCAACCACCTCACTTCCTGTCACTAGAACCAAGTCCTAAGAGTTCCACTTCCTCCCCAAGGAGCACTACAGGATGATACCCAGAAATGTCTTAACACACAGGCCATGGGCAATTGTTCAAGATTCAAACTGCAGCACCTTGGGAAAAGATGACAAAGTGACAGAAAATACTATATGACAGTCAGAAAGCAACTGTTTACGCAATACTTTTGTTGGTATCATCCTCAGAAAGAATTTCTATGGGAAAAATCCTATTCAACTGTATATTCCATTTTTATTTCTGAATTTTCCAATGGGTTTATCTGTTTGGGGCTGGAGGCAGGTTCTCATCTGTTTCTGTGAACCGCAAAGCCAGTTTCTCTGTGAGTTAAAGGCATGGTGTCATAGGCACCGAGAGTAAAGGAAGTTTTCTCTACACAGATAAAAGGGAGCAGCATCTCAGATAGCAAGGACACTGCAAAATGAGTAGGAGGAGAGGGCTTGCGGGAAGCAAAACGGTCTTGACCGCTCAGGATAGCAGCATGCACAGTGATGATGGTTGGGTGATAATGGGCTGTCTGGCTTCTATGGAACCATGTGTTTTAAGCTGAGGTGTTGCCCTTGTCCTACTGGAAGCAAATAGCCATTGTTAGATGAAACATGCGATGAGTTGACTTTATAGAGGAAGGACTCTGCATAAGAAAGCCGTTTGCAGTTGGAATGAGAGATGGAAGGGCGCAACGTGAAGCTGTTTCAGGGTTCCTGAACAATGTGATGCCTTGAAGCAAGACACACAAGTGAGGAGAGTTCACTCAAGAGCTTTATTAGGAGGCAGATTTGCCAAAGAATAAAGAAAAGAAGCCAGCTCAATGTCCAAGTTGTCTCTGGAAAACTGCGCGTTTAACAAAAGTTGGAAAACAAACAAACAAAAAAAAACAGTAGGACTTCAGTTTCAGAGAATGACTTATGAGATAGTAAAAGAACCAAAGAACCACATGTGAACGCATGTGATAATTAGAAGTGGGAATCAGAGAGTAAGAAGTATTTTATCAGTCGTGTGTGCATGGTAAAGTATAGCGTCCGCTGGAGAATGTCGGCATAACCACGTCATGGTAGCCACCCATTACATGCATGGTCACTGGAAACAAAAATCTATCCTCCGATTACCTGAGCTTATCTCTTTAGTGTTTTTACAGTTTCCAAATGGACTAAAAGTGGTGTTCACCATGGTAGCTCACACCAGGCTGCTTAGACACACAGACAGTCCCTTGGAGTGACTGAGGGATTAGGGATGGCATCTAGAGAATGTTCCATGATCACGGTGACTCAGTGTAAGTAAGTCACTATGGAGAGAGAAAGAAGGGGACAGGACGGCACAATAGCTGTGATATGTGAATGATGAGGTAGACGTCTGCACTTTTTCGGGTTTATATTGCTGCATGTCCTTGCCACAGGATGTGTACTCCGACCCCACCTCACTGACTGGACTGGGCAAATGTGAGATGTGGCTTATCTCTTCCAGTCAGGTTGGAGAAGAGGATGACATGAAGAAGCCCTGAATTATTCACTGTGTTTGCACTAGGGACCAGGATGAAAAGGCAGAGAGGAAATGGGCTTACCTTCCGCTCAGGGTTTATACATCTTTGCTCTGTTTGCCTGGGAAATTCCCCAGTAAAAACTCCAGCAGCTTTCTTAACGGAAACAGGTTGATCACACTTTGCGATTTTAGTGGGGCACTGGCATCTTTTCCTGCTTCGCAGGCATTGATTCATCATTTACTTAGCTTTAGCTCATTAATAAAATGGGCTGAGTCACTGTCAGAAGTTAGAAAAGGCCCCCAGCAACTGCCCATCTAAAGTCAAGTCCTTTGATCCTGACCATCGTAAAATAAATGTAATTCCCTCAATTTGATGAGAGTCAGTTTTTATTTTTAAATACGAGCTGAATGACACGTAGTTTCAGGGATTTTAACAGTGCCACAACACATCCCTGATGCTGATTTCAACTTCTATGTCTTGTTGTATGAGCCACCACCATTACTTTATGTGTGTGGCAGTGGTTTCCCTTGAGAGGAACTTAAGTATCTTTAGAAATGGTAATTCTTTGGGTGTTGTAGTATGTCTGCTACACCAGCAAATCACAAAAATATTTATGCACGGCCATTTTGAACTGGAAAAATCTTTGTAGCCTTAGTCTGTGTCACTCATCTCTTCAAGAGAATGTCAACCGCCTCTCCTCCTTCTGAAGGTCACATGTGGTACACTGTGTGGTACAGTAACAGGGATGGGATGGGAGCTCTGGACTCCCCACAAAGGAGAGGCCTATAGACACTGTCTTGTCCCCCACCTCTGAGACACAGAAGACTGAAGCAAAAGGAAGGATTGGATCTCTTTGCAGAATGTGTAGTCTGGCACAGGAGTTAAGATCTGGAAATGTTAGGAATCATTGTTTTGGAAAAAATAGTTAAATTACCTTTATCAATATGTTATTTCAGATGTGATGTTGCTAGAATTCTAGGCACTTGGATATATAAGAGGGCTTGTATGTCATTGACCATCCAAAGCTAATCCTCATAGGGGCCATGCTCTAACTCATTACTGGAAACTTGGTACCATCTGCCTAGATGCTGAAGGTCAAAGAGTCACCATTTCTCTGCATTGTTTTTGTAAGTAATAAAGCTCTCCAATCCAGGCAAGCCAGCCTGTTCACTACTTCGTGCTTAGATTTCTCAATGCCATGCCTTAATCTAACCTTTCCAGCTATTATATGCAGCCTTCAGTGCTCAGCTCAGTTCTCAGCCCTGGAAACCTGCCCCGCCTCTCAGGTCAGAGGCTGACACCCCTGTAGAGCCCCTTGGTTCTTAGAATCCGTTATATATGTCATAGATCTGATAGTGCATGTACCAGCTAGAGCTGAGTTCGATGTTGGAGGGCAGAGGCCTTGTTTCCTCATAACCTTCAGAGTATTTTTCTCAGAGTTATATGATGGTTCATGTTCAAGAAGCTTTAACAGTGGATAGGGAGAATTGAAGAAAATACCTGGGAAATAGGAAGACATTGCCTACCACTGAACCCAGGAAACTTCCCATAGTTTTCTCTTTGATTTTTGTTTTGTTTTTTGTCAGAGGACAGTGGTCTTGATTCTTAATGCTTCTGCCATCTTATAACTCTTGCAAACTTTGATGCAATACCTAGGTACTAGTCTACCATGCATATAGGCACACATATAGGTACGGTGCTTTCTGTGGCCATCGATACTAGAAGCCTGGTACTGTGATCTCGTATTTGCATATGTAGCATCAGAATACATCAAAACTAGGCTTGTTGCTTCCTAGTCTTGCTCCTGAGCAAACAGGGATCTTGGTGTCTTCAGCTGCATAGCTTTTCCATAGACTCACGTACATTATGCATAATCTTCCTTCTCTCTTCTTAATCTCCTAGTATATATATTCAGTAATCATAAAAATATAGCAAGATGTTAGAGCTTATCAGGGTCTATCCTAGTCCTGAGGATTCTGTGGTTCATGGAGTCTTTCATTGGGCTGGTATTTATGAAGCATGGGATAGGCTGGATACTGACTACACCATGGGACACATGATAAACTAGAACCATACCTTCTCTGAGCACTAAGTCTACTGGGGGCAGCCAAGCTAATAGGCTGTGATTACTTAGACAAGGGAAGGGTGATACAAGGGCTTTGAAAGGCACAGAGAGAGAAAGAGCTTCTTTTCTCAAAATGAGGGAAGAAACAATGTCACCAGGCCTCCCCCCATCCCCCCAAGGGTACTAAAGATGTGTGCAATTGTCAAGAGACAATATAACAAGCATGGGCATGTCACTGAGAATGACCCTATATTAGCCACATTAAGGAATTTCATCTTCCTCTAGAGATCAAGAATCTGTATGTTCAGCCAATAGGAAACTGTGGTGACTATAGCATTTGTTCTAAATGTGCCGGATGTTTACCCATAATAAATACAGAATATCTTTCAGAAGAAATGACAGGAAATGGGAAAGTGTTTCATTTGGTCTCAGTCAGACAAAGGCTGTCCTCTGTAACTCTTAGACTAATAAGTCAGCACCGTGAGTTTGATGTTATTTTATTTCCCAGTACAATTTGAAAGGATAGTTTTGTTCTTTGCCATTCATTCCAAGCTCTCATCCTACACAGTTATGGTTTATCAGGTTTTTGAAGACTCCCTGAATGTCATAAAAATAAAATGAAAATTCTCTCTGTTAGAGACAGAGTATAAAGGTCTGGGAGTCAGAGGCACTGGTTGGCCTCACTTGTCCACTGTATTAGAGGAGAGTTAACTTCAGCTAAGAGCTCTCCACAGGACTGTGTGCATCCTCATATAGCTGCAGGTTACTCGGGGCATATCACCTAATGACCCCCTGACATGTATGACAGATACTTTGTCATGTACACCGAGACATTCCTAACCCAGGGGGCAACAAATAAACACAGACAATAA